AGTTAAGATAAATTTATATTAAATTTGAATTTCTTAAATGAAATGTTACAAAGAAAAATAAGATTAAAATAAAATAACAAAACAACAATTAAACATAGAAAAAGTAAAAAAATGTTTGGTGGTATACAAATAAAAATTTCAATTTATAGTGAATATTAAGAAAATTGATATAAAATACAAAAATAAAATTTCATTCATAAAAATATTAATTGAATAGCTCGCCAGAAATAATTTCATTTTTGTGTCTTAATCTTATAAAAGGCATAAAATTTGCATTTATTGGTGTTGTATCTCCTCGAGACATTTTTTCTGCCAGCTCAACAGTAAATGGCCCACAATCATGTCCATTGGTTTGGCCAGATGTCTCGCCTATTTGTAATGTCCATGTAGAAGCTTTTCCTTTTTTGTCCATCTCCCATTCAATTAAGAAATTGTTTAATACCATTGGATAGGGACCCTCATACGACTTAAGACTATCATATAATGTCACAGTTTNACTATCATATGATGTCACAGTCTTTTCAGGTATATTAACCACTGTCAATATCCAATGACTCTCATATACATTCATGGGCACAAAAAGTAATTTTATTGTGTGAATATCTTTTTTTATCCATCTTCTTACAGCTGGATAACCCCCTCGAAGATACGCTACAATAAAATCAGTGACAACTGCATAAACTTCACCTTCTGACCGTTTTACTATCATTTTAATGTACTCATTAATTGTGTCTGAAGTATACCATGATGTGGGCGATTTAAATGAAAGTGCATTATACTGATCAAGAGATTTTGTGTTCTGATCTTGCATTACTTCTGCAAGTGTAACCATATCTAAACATTTTTCATAAAATTAATAAAACATTTTGTTGAACAGTTTACAATTAGTTAGGTTTATTTACCTTTTTCTTTCTCTGGTACTTTTATTGCTTCAACAGTGGGCAGAGCAAATAAATTTACGTCATTCGGCGTATTTAAGGTCAAAGGAATAAAACTAACTTTTGGCTCTAAAATAATTTATGTTTAAAAATGTTACATATTTGTTTCAAAAATCAAAACGTTTATTATATTATTTTTTAAAAATGAATTATATTTTAAATGTTGTATACTTTTTATGACTTTTTCATCTTCTTCGGATGAATTTCTTTTTAAATTTGATCGAGCAGTAGTATTAGAAGATATCTCAAAAAGTTGTTTTTTTATTTCGGATTTTTTGCGTTCCAAATTTTTCTTATGTAAACTCTTAACGGATCATAAAAATATATTTAATTATATGATAAATTTATTTAAGAAATCTGCTTTAAGTCCAAAAAATGGTTTAGGGTATACCCTAAAATCTTTTTATTGAAATAAAGCATAATAAAATATACCTTTTCTAATAAATCAGCTGATATTAATAACGGATTGTCTTTTGAAATTGCTACATTTATTTTTTCTGTTGAATTTAAAATTTCATTTTTATATTTTTCAGATTTTTCAATCTGAAATAGTGTTCCGAATTCTCTTTGCTGCATCATATTCTAGGTAACCAAAGAGATATTTAACAAAGGGGAAATTTTAACATTCAAAATGTCATTGACAATAAACGATAATTCCACAAAAACAGATAAGTATAATCTTTAAACACAAATCAGCACGTGATAACCATATCGAATTGTTCTCAAATTTTGAAGTTGGAAATTGTTTGGGGACGTGCCCTTCCTTTCATAAAGTATGTGTAATCGTTAAGGTGAAAAATTTATGAGAGAAAAATGTTAAAGATAGCGAGGCAAGTTAAAAGTTGAGACGAGATAATCATTTTAGATTTAAAAAATTATTATTGTTTGTGAACTTTTTATGATAATATTTTTTAAAATAGTAACTAAATAATTANTTTTTATGATAATATTTTTTATAATGGTAACTAAATAATGATAAATATTTCGAAAATAATTTAAATTAACACGTGTTTTTTTAAAAACACGCAATTATGCCTTTTTTGCAAAAATAATTTAATATTGTAGATTTATAGCTTTAGAATTTAACTTGAGTGTGAATAAATAAATACTAGATTTTTTATCGTAATTGCTAAAAAAGAAAATGACGAATAATAAGTATTCGAAATATTAAGTTTTATACAAATGTTTACATATTCGAGAAAATGATCAATAAAATATTATTTTGAATTATTATTGTTTGGAGTTGGGTTGACAAAAACTACTTAAATTCTATTTAACGACAAGAGAAAATCTGAGTATAGGTTTTCAATAATTATTAAGTCTTTTGAAATAAGTAGACTGTTTAGGAGAAATTAATATACAGAGTCAATTATGTATAAATACAAGTAACACTTATTAACTAACACAAACCATATTATCAGTGAGCGCTGAGATAATGTACCAAATCCACAAATAAATAAATGTTAAAGAGTAGTTAGACTACAATTTATTCCATATTACCTAACACTTTACCAAATATTTGTTATAATCATAAGTTAACTGAGAAATTACCACCTATCTCGAACAATTTAGAATTGTTTACCAGATAACCAAACAAATGACTGCTGTATTAGTGGACTGTATAAAAAGAGGTGAAGAGATATAAAAAAGTCGAAACAAGTGTTAATAAATAAGTGATCTAATAATGTGTATGCAATATTGAGTAAAAGTATCGAATATAGGAAAAATTAAAATAGTAGTAATAAGCTAGAGATCAAATAGACTATTCAATTAATTTCCTTAAGAAAGTATAAAACTATTTAACACGAGAAAGAAGAAATATTTATTTAAATAACAAATGTAAGGATCGTATAATCGCAAGTATTATAAATTCATTCATAGACTTCCTACGTAAGGTGCGGCGGATGCATTGAAATGCCATTTGACGGAACGCGCATTTAGTTTCATATTCGAATACATGTTGTTGTATAACGTATGAGATTGGCTGCCACCCAGTCACAACGGGTTGCGGTGTGGTCACGATTTGAATTAGCGGCACAGCAGCACCAATATCATAACACGTGTTTTCCATTTCGTCGATCACCGGCGAGTCGATCCTATGGAACTCTTCGACGCGATCGAGTTCAGCTAACGCGCAAACAACAGCGTCTTGATGTTCGCGAAACTGTTTTTCGAGAACACTTGTTTGTCGTACTTCAAGCTGTTCTTTAAGGCTAATGTTCGCGCGAAGCGCTTTCAAATTGGTCAGCCTGATTATGTCTATCAGTAGTAGATAATGCCCTCAGCCAGGCCGATAGTCGTTAACTGTTCGAACGTGGGCTTTTGTTGTATTCATTCGTCTTTCGTTAACTCTAGTGGTTAACTTTAATTCGTTTTTTTGCATGTACTGCTCACATTCGTTGTATCATTTCTTCTACTGTGTCGATTGCGTTTAACTGCATTCATTGTTATATTTTTTAACCTTATAACATTATACCTTATAGGTAGTGCCACCATCACTCTCGGTAATTTATTTATTGTAACTGAAACACTTTGGTTAAAGGAAGTAAAAGCTATGCCTGATAGTAGACTGGTCGCGCCTGTTGGGTTGATCACGTAACATTCCTTTTTTCTCCCAACAGCTAACTTAATCTTAATGGCGAATTTATGAATATCAGTTATCGACTTAAGGGACCTATACCGTAAAAGCCATGCTATATTTAGAGTCTTTTCTTCCAGATTTACTTTAACATGCCTCGGGGCCAACAGATAAATATCCAAAAGCTCAAAGGACCAATGGATGGACGCAACGTCCGATGGTACTCACGCGAGTCCGTTAACGTTCGTTGTTTTATTTTGTCTTAAGTCTTAAGACTGTGTCGAGGAAAAGGAATACGACGAGTGGACTGTAAAAATGAATGTGGAATGAATTTTCAAAACGTATAACAATTAAATGTTGGCAGGCCAGAACAGCATGGTAGAACAGTACGATATCTCATCATTTAAAGACTCGTTCATTATCAGATGATACAAGTCGTTGGTTTTTACGACGGACAAATAAACACAGCATAGTATGCGTGGCGTTAAGTCGTTGCCTGTTTATCATCATAAAAGTAATTAATATTGAAAAACGATATTATAAATTAATTTTGCCCTGCAAAGATACCAGAATAATATTTGATATAACATTNAAGGTATGAAGTCGATTTCTTCCCATTTTATATAATTTTCCATTCCAATATACAGTAGAACCTCATTAATCCGGACCAATAAGGGCTCTAGGTTGTCCGATTTAATGAAAGTCCGGATTAAACAAAATAACCAAAAAACATGTCCGTGTTATAGATTTAAGAATGTTATATTACACTAATTACAATATATGATAAACAATATATATGTATTGCAACATAATATTAGGTCCAAAAAAAAAAACATTACATAAAAAAAATGTAAATATCAACATGAAGCATATACATAGTCATAATTATTATATATTAAGGCACACTTTCATTAATTGGTTTGAAAAAACTGCTTATCTTTGGTTGTCTTCCTTTTGCATTTATTTCTCGTATTAATAATTCACGTAGATGCCTTAAATGTTCGTAATATGCAGATATGTTTTCATCGTCGTTATCTTCAACATATTTGAGAACAACATTTAGATGGTCTTTAATTTCACCAAGTTTTGGCTTAGACTTGATACTATCGTCTACTTCATCTTGTTCATATTCATCCGTTTCAGAGTTTTCTGCACCGATGAAGCTTTCAACAATCTCTTCTTCTGTTAAAATTTGATAGCCCATATCGTCTTCATCAGATTCTAGCCACAAATCAATGTCTTCTAGTGTTGTCAAATTTTCACCTGCTTGGTGGAAAGTGTTGTAAAAGTCCTCTGTTTCCAATCCAGCTGTATCTGGTTCCACCTCTTCATTTATTAAAAGTTTCTTCCATGAGTTAATAAAAGTTGATGGTTTTATATCTTTGATAGCAGATGCGAAATTAAAAATCATAGACCTTATATTGTAGTCTTTGAGATTCTGTAACGTCTTTTGCCCTCGTTTATCTTCTTCTCCTGCAGCTGGTTCTTCGACTTCTAAAATTTCATGTAAAAGCTTCTTTTTGTATAGACGTTTTGCTGTGTAGATTACGCCCTGATCCATAGGCTGAATTAGAGAGGTTGTGTTTGCTGGCAAGAACATGCACCGAATTTTTTTATCATCACTAGTCAGCTGGTCAACTTGTGGATGTGCAGGGCAATTGTCAAGTAAAATTAGGGCCTTCACTTTGTTTTCAGGAATTTTCAAAACTTCGGTTTGGTATCTACTGATTTCTGGCACTGCTTTTTTATGAAACCAATCCATTGTTATTTCTCTAGTAAACCATGCATTTTTCGAGTTGTAGTAGTGAACTGGTAACGTGTTTAAATTTTTTATTGCACGAGGTTTTTTACTTTTTCCTACAATCACAGGTTTCAATATGTGACTTCCATCAGCATTAGCGCATAGCAACGCAGAAACTCGATCTTTACTAATTTTCCTACCAGGCGTATTTTTTTCGTCTTTGGATGCTTGTGTACAGTCTGGTAAAGCTCTCCAAAATAATCCGGTCTCATCATAATTGTAGAGTTGCGAAGGCAGTATATTTTCAGCTCTTAAAATGTCATTTAATTTTTTCCTAAATGGCTCGACAGTTTCATCGTCAGCACTAAGACTTTCACCACATATTTTTTTATTTGTCATGTTGTGACGCCTCCTGAACCTAAACAGCCACCCTGAACTGGCTTTAAAATTATTAATGTCCAAATTTTTGGCTAACCTCTCTGCTGCAGCTTGAATTTCAACTCCACGGACAGCCAATCCAGATGAACGGAGTTGACAAAACCATTTGTAAACTGCATCATCAAGTGACTGATCAAGAGGCAACCGCATTCTTTTTACATCGCTTGTTTCCTTTTCAACATTAAATTTAAGGACAAACTTTCTTATTTCATCTTTTTTTTTTCTCAAGTCCGAGACAGTTTGTTTGGCAATGCCATATTGCGCACAAATGCTTGCCACTGATGCCCCCTTTTCAAGTTTTTCTAATACGCATAATTTATCCTTAAGGGAAAGAGATGTATGTTTTCGCTTTTTACATTGACTAGATTTGCTAAAAGACATCACAGTGATACAAAAATAACGACTATAATATAAAGCACTATAACATACGTATTAGACGACCGACTAGCGAACTGAATATCCAAACAAATGGATAACGTGAGTTTTGTGGATACATAGTTTATGATAACTTTAATGACGGTAGATAAGAATATATGTACTTTATGGGAAATTGGAGGAACTCGCTTTTACGTTTATTTTCGTCTACGGCATAAATTTCGCATTTTTCGTGTTATCAGACAGCTGTCCGGATTAAGCGAAGTCCGGACTAATGAGGTCCGGATTAATGAGGTTTTACTGTATTAGGTAAACAATACTCTGTGTTATCACTGCTGAGTGTTATCAACTGCTGTTTGGTCTTGAGCATTGGTAAACATTTACTAGTATTTTTTCATTAATTATTAATTGATATAAAATTTATGTATTAATTAAGTAAACTATCCGAAAAATCATTAAATATAAAGTATATTTCATCAGCAATAACTTAGGATATATTTAAAGGTGTCAAGATTTCTGGAACATATGTGAGGTCAATGAATCAACGTTATCTAGTTTCAAATTTTCATTGTGTAATTGAGAATAATCCTTACATTATACCACCGTTTTATTTGAATTAAAATAAATATCTTTTTAAATCAACTAATATTTCAACATTGATTTAATGTTTTATGAGTGCTTCATTAATAATTTTATGATGGATTTCAGTTTTCAGATAATGTAGCAATTTATTTTATTTAATAACTACATATACAGGAAATATTAAAAATTTTAACTACTGGTTTTTATTTTAATTTTGTAATTTAAATTTATTTTTAAAATAATGACATACTATTTAATAAAAAAAAATGGTTTTACGTTACTAAAATCAAATTTATTTTTATAAAAAACATCAAGTGTTGTTTCAAATTTAGTGTAACACATAAACAACACAATAAATCTTGTTTGATTATATTAAAAATATGATAATTCTTTTAAAAAACAAAATTCTTAGATGTATCAATGACTAACTAATGAAAAAATACAAGTAAATGTTTACCAAATCAAATCAATTGATAAACTCGGCGATTCTAATACAAAGTATTGTTTACCTAATCATTAGACACCAACAAAATTTAAACATCTCAAGTTTAGCGGAATAAATGTCTATATTATGTATATAAATTTTGGACTCAAAAGATAACCATTTTAAAATTTCATTATGTCTAATTTTAGGAAAATATTGTTATTTAAATGTTTAAAACATTTTAATTATTAGAATATGTATTGGCATGTGATATATAAAATGATCTAATTAAGAAAATGTCTGTTCGATAACTATTCTTGAACAAGTCATTTGAAAGTTATTTTAATTTTTATTGAGTTAATCCAGTAACATATCTACATTAGAAGTGGGATTTGTGGTGTTTTTCATAATACTATTACTCATCATATTCTGTTTGTTAAAAAAAGTTCAATTAAAATAACCAAAACACTTTGCAAAATATTTAAGACAACATCACAATAGTGCAATAAACCGAATAATATTAAATTTTTCAACAATTATTTCCAACTATCTTTTGTCCTAATATTTAGACAGTATGGTTATAGTATTTTTATTAGGCAACTACTACCATGATAAATTGAATCTTTTAGTTCTTAAAAAATTCTCCTAGACAAGAATTTTATCTAAAAGGCGTCTATCTGAAATAACTGATCTTTAATATACACTTAGATAGATCTTTTGAGGAATCTCATTAAATAATTATCCAAATTCATTAATTTATTATTGAAAACTATAAAGATTTAAATAATTGAAAAGAGTGGCGTGATTAATATAACTCTAAATAGGCACTTGGCCTAAGCTAAAATAAAATTAAGTAGGTAGGTGGGTGAATGAAGAGATGGATGCCGAGTAGTAATGCTTTTTATTAAATGTTCGTATTAGGTACATTATTTTATACATAATAATTCTAATCGCTTAAGACTGCTGTATATCTACCGGTACCTGTTAATAAGAATATAATGTAAATGGTAAATGGTGTAAAATATTTGATTAAACTAGTAATTTATTGTCGATACAATGGTCGCTCCTCTTATTTATTAGGAAAACTATTTTTAACCAATTTATTTGATATGCTTTTCTTGATATTTAATAACTTTTAGCTAAATATTGGCTTATTATATTAACTAAATTAGTCTTATATATAGTCTAATATAAGATTAAAATGTTAATTACATTTTGAAAATCTCAAATTATAAATTTGAATACAATAATTAAATCAAGTGTAAATACATGTTGAGATTTATTCAACTTAAACAGAAAATTAAAAATAAAGTTTTGATGTTAGGGAAAATCTAATGACATCGACTAAATCGTCATCATCACTAGAATCCTAAAATTCAAAATTAAAAACCTAGCATAATTAAAAAAATGTCTATATATTAATTTATGTCTATGTTGCTATTGACCTTTACATTCGGTTATTTGCAATATTCATATAAAAATTTTATTAAAAGCTATTTAACCACATTTCGTTTACAACTGATATATTATTTTTTTAATTTATGTCTAGTATCAAGTAGACATCATTGTATGGTGGGAAATTATGAACTTATATGTTTCTAAATTATTAATTTTAATTATTTATATGACTCTTCACTAAGAGGATCTGGTACATGATTTTTTAGCATCTAAATAATAGTATAAAATACGTTATTTTATAACGTATTAAATAAATCATTAGTATTTCTAATGAAGTATTATTTTGGAAAGTTAAATTTATTTATAACCAATTACTAATATTACTTATATTTATTACTAATAAAGAAATATATATCAGATCTTGGAAAATGTTTCAATCATTACACAATTTTTACCCCCATGAAATCAATGTGTAGTCCGAAATTCAATATTTTAATTTTTTATATAGCAATAAAATATAATATTTGACTGTTAAATAAAACAAAATTCTTCTTGAGATGTTGTAACTCAATAAGAGAGATAAATTTCATATTTGATTATTACATTTTAAATTTTATAGGTAGCTGTATTATTTAAATCTCAATGAACGCACTACTACTACTCAGATAATATCATCACAATTTCTTTTATAGGAATGCATAAAAAAAATAATAAAATCATTTTCAATTGGCGAAAAAAATGTTTTATTTAAAAAACCTTAAATATTTCTCATATAAACCGAATACTATACGACATTATTTATCTTAATTATCTTGATAATTATCTATTTTCCGAACTAAATATTCATAACTTTATATTATTATAATGTATGCTTCTTTAGGATTTTAACATATATGAGTATAGAATAGAGGACGGTGTGGAATGATGAAAACCTTAAGCATTAATAGAAGCTTTTAAAAAAAGTATTCATCATAAAAAGTTTTGTTGAAATATTATTTGATTTAAAGCCCAACTGGAAAAAGTTCATTATTTAATATTAATTATTTTAAGAATTATAAAAAAATTATAAAATAAAATAAAATTGAAATGTTACCCTACGGATGTGGGCAAGATAATATACCTTAGGTTAATTTAAATAATTTTTAGATTTTATATTTTCCAATTAAGGGTAGTCCACTTTTGTCCCCTTATATGATTAAAGTTATACAACTATTAATTAGTTTACCCAATAATTAAAAAAACAAAAATTCCCTTATTCTTTTCAAATTTGAATGAGACTTAAAATTTCAAATAATTTTTATTCGTGATGTTTTTCTTTATCTATTGCAATAAAAAAAATTATATTTATTTATTCAAGCTCAAGTGAAAACCTTACACCGTGTAAAATCAACATTTATTATACGTTCTTGCAAAAAATTAATAAATGGGTTTAAAGCAAACACATATTGTTTTTTGTCAGAATCAAGATTAAATAATGATGACAACTAAAATGAGGTGGTATAAAGAGTAAGTTCTAATATCTGATTATTAATTCTAAGAATAAAAAAAATGTAATCTATATTTTGGCAGTGTATAATATTAAATTAACTATTGATCATACACTTAAAATACCTGCTATTTTCGTTTATATTGAACAATTTTTCTAGTTCTTTAACTTAGTTATAAATATATTTTGTCAAATTTTTATGCAAATAAGTCACAAAACAGAAATAATTTAAACAATATTTTCATGATTTATTAAAAAAAAAAATTAAATATACATCTTATTAAAGACTTATTATCTTATTAAATTAATAAAAATATGTTTTTAGAATAGTAAATAAATCACGTTGCAAATTAAAAAAAAAACTTAAAAAAGAGAATCGCAAATTAAAAAAAAATTTTCAATTTATAAAATAAATTTTTTATCATCCTCCTATTTTTAGATAGTAGCCAATAGTAATTTATTATAATTACAAAATACTCCAGTTTACTAAAGAATTGAATGCTATGGACAATAAATCTTTGAGTTGGAAAAATTTTGATTCCCCCTAATCGTTGATTAAATCAACCATTAGGAGGAATTTTTATCAAATCAACTTGATTTGATAAAAATTTTTTAGACATTGTTAAATATGACGACTTATATACATTGTTATTAAAAAAAATATGTGCAATAATTTTATTTTATTAAATTATTTATTCCTTCCCTCATATGTAAACCATCATCATCTTCCCCACTTCTAAATCATTCACTCTTTTACTCATTAGTTAGATATTACGAAACTGAGAAATTAGCTATTTTACTACCTTAGTTATTTCGTATACTTAACTATTTACTTACTTTTGTCGAGGACAGTCGTTATAATACTTATAAAATTACTTCATTCTATAAAAATTGATTTTAAACTATAGGACTATACTTAAAATATGTTAGTAGGGTAATTTGGAGAGAGCTGCCCCCCGCCTCACCCACTCTCCTTCCATGCCGTGGAGGAAGTGTACGGGGGGGATTAAATCTAACGTAAACTAACCTAATACAATGATTAATGGTCGGAGGGTGAGGATGAAACCCAATGTAAACTAACCTAAGACGCGATATGTGAAAGATATCCTATCGAGCGTATAAAAGTCTAATACATAAAAACACACACAAAATGATGATGGTCCCACAATACCATTTGAAACACTCCCTTTCCAAGTTTGGCAGACTTATCAGGTTTTTTTTTAGGGTAATCTCTATATTTTAGAGCTCAGTCGATTTTGTATACTTTATGAGTACTTACATATATTGTGCAAAATAAATTTTATAATCATTAGCGTTAGAGTTGTATACACATCATCATTTCAACGGCAAAGTAATTTTTTTTTTTTTTTTTTTAAACCAATAAAATCAAATAGTTTACGTATAAGTGTTACTGTAGCACATA